ATTAATAAAAGCAGACTTTTCGTATATTTTGCTTAATCCATGGCTACTTGATAACAAAAAAAATACAAATTATAATTAAATACATTCTCCAATTAAAATTGCATGTGAATCAGAGTTTCATAGCATCATTAATATAATATGCAACTTAAGAAAGTTTTAAAATTTACGAAATTATAATATTATCACGATGGACGCATAACGCATCGCGCGGATCGTCATTCCGGATTCGATGGAAACGATCCATGGCTTTGTTTTTTTTCCGGTTTTGCTTACAGGATGTACGTGGCGAAAGGCACTATGCACATGTGTATTTCAGTCGGACTTCGGTTTCGTGCTAAACTGCGCTTTCAAAAAGTCCGGTCTCTTCCGGGTCAGAAATCTCGGAGGTGTGAAGGGTTACGTCGGCCTGGGTGAGTTGAATTATAGGAGCGATCGCGATCGTCGATCTCAATAACCGCGTTCATCGATAGATTTTTCGATCTGGATTAATCGATTAATCTTATCGGAGATATAAATAAACAATTGGGGCAAGGAACTATAATAATCGTATCGACCGAATCTTCTCTCTAAATCCGCATTAGAAAAGTTAAAACATTTTTATATGGTAATCTCGATATTACGTCTCATGTGCTTTTAATTTGTGAGGAAAAAATAATTCTATTAAATACATATTTTTTTAAACTCTAATTAGATATTTTATTTATCGTACTATATTAATTTATTTAATGAAAAAAAAAAATTATAAATTATAACTATAAAATTTAACGATCGAATAGGATGGATCAATTTATTCGCGCCGCGTTGCTACAAGAAAACATAGATTATACGATTTGTCGAAACCGGCCTTGTCGCAACTGGTGCTATAAAATATATTATCTTGAATTATAACTTCTTATATCGGCCGTCTAACTCTCACGTGTCAATATAAAGAATATTCTGAAAAAATTAATCATTAATGTCTATCGAGATATACTTGAGAGAGCATTGTAAATTTCAAAATTATAAACTATTATTCTCTCATGCAGTTACCCTTACCAAGCGACGAGATGGCTGCTTCAGTGAACGAAATGACGTTGCTTTCGTTGCAGCCTATCGCTGCAGCTGAAACCAGCCAACTGCTGCCTCTTCAACAAAACGAAAAACAACAATCCTTACCCGACAGCTTACCATCCTTGGCTCCTATCCAGGGCATGGAAACTTCTTTAAAGGCCCTCGCGGAGGCAAGTAATATCACTCTAGAAGCCTTGGAAGCGGCAATTCTTCTGAGACAGCAACAGCTTCTTAAAAAACAGCAAGGACCTATGACGACAAGTACCACAACAACCACAATGGCACCTCTTAAAAAGTAATTTACATGCAATCAATATTTTTAATTTTCGTATATTTAACTAATCTTTCCAATATTTATTTTTGCATAAAATAAAACTACACTCGAAATACACAGTAACGATAATAACAAACCAATGATAAGACAACAAAAAATAAAACTTTTTTTTTATGTTAAGTAAACATAATTCCGGAGCCACCAAAGTGATGAACGCGCCTCGGGAATACTATCCGGTTGGATACGACAAAAATTTTGATGACAACTTTGCAAGTCGCGTTGACCTGCCTGACACGAGCTTTTATTGTGGCGATCAAAAACATTTCCCAGGTCTCTATGCCGATGAAGACCTGGGATGTATGGTAAATCTTTTAAAGATTGCATTATAAAAAAATTAATCCAAGAAAGATCTTTATTATTTTATAACAAAGAACATTTTTTCTTAGATTTTATTAATATTACATACTACTTTTAAATATATATCATCATATAAATATATACAATATTATATACACAAAAGATTTTATTCTCATTATTTTGAAAATTCTTAAAATTAATTTTTGTACGAATCCATTTTAGGTGTTTCACGTTTGCGCACTGACGGACGATGGTCTGATCATGAAGAGTTTTCTGTGTCCGGAATCGACGTTGTTCGATCAAACAATTTTGAAATGCAACTGGTGGTTCTACGTAGACTGCAAAGCTTCCAAGAGTTTGTACGACAGCAATATACCTATTAGCAAGAGTTATCAGCTGATGAAGGCCTTGGCGTTCTTCTCGGCGTATAAAAATCACGAAAACGGGACAAATACTGAGCAAAATAGCAAAGATAATTCTTGAATCGGCAGATCAATCAAAAATTATAGAATCGTAATCGTTAAGCTCAATTTTCCATATATGGAAATTATCGTGTTTCCACGATACGACTTTCTCATTTAGTTTTAGAAGTTTTTATTTGTATATATAATTTATTTGGTTAAGAAAAAGAGAGAGAGAGAAAATAAGAAGTATGTTAGATTTCTACTTTATATAGAGGCAATGTAAATAGTACCCGTTCCTGGCTCGATCCATTTTGTTGAATAATAATATATATTATATCTCTTTTTTGACTCAAAATTTTTTTTCCCGTTGAAACTAACATTCAGTAATAAAAAACAGAAGCAGAGAAGCATAAGATAAGAAAACGACGAAGAATTGAAAAAGCGCAATGTTTATTAATGTTCGATATTTTTACGGTTATATGCGAGAACATTGCGAATTTAAAGGCTGCATCACTGTTGAACGAATTAACAATTACACGCGATCAGTCTCTTTCTCATATTTTTCTATCAAATATCTTACAGAAACTTCAAAATCGTGGGCTTTGTATAAAATTCATCTGCGCGCATAGCATGCATACCTACATTTCTATATAGAACGCATATAGAACATACAAAAGTTTTGCTATACAGATGCATTTATTAAAACATAAAAAATTATCGGGATTATCGGTACCAGTAGACGATGAAAATTGAGTTTTAATTGACAATATATTAACAGAGAATACTACTAAAGGCAGATTTTTGCGTTAAAGCGTCATCATAAACATAATTGTCGACAAATTTTTACTCCGAATCTTGCTTGGTTCGGGAACACGACAGACAGCAAGACTCTTGATAAAATTGGTAAGAGCAAAGCCGAGCTTGCGTGACTAAATTGCAGTTAGCTATTTTATCCTTGCAAAGTGGATTGTTCTCAACACCTAAAATGAATAAAATAATGTATACATATATATCGGTTCCGGCATAAATTAACAGTTACGGCCTGCATAAACAGAAATGTACCCTCTACAATATATGTAAAAATGAAAACAATCCGTGAAGTGTAAGCTAATCCGAACATTTACCATCATTCTATATAATTTCTTCTATCATAAAAGACATTTTATGAACTCTATAGCAGTTCTACAGAATGTTTATATAAGATAGTTATTATATTGTTGCGTGAGTCCCTTGTGTTTCGTTCCTGCGTGACGTCTGTGACGATTATATTTGATAATTGCTGTACCCGTCTCCGCGAGATCATCCCCTAGCACGTTACTACGAAGGTTGTTGATAAACAAGGAGAGACATTTTGTGGAAAGTCGTCATTTTGTAAAAAGGAGAGTCTTACGACTATCGTCTTGCCGTGCGGACACAGTTCCCGACGGCTACAATTATCATTATATTTTCTGTCTATATTTTTTCCAGTTATTAAGGTTCCATAGTTTCTTTCAAGTGTCTCGTTATTTCCGACGCAAGTGTTTGTGTGAGAGTGACGGTGCGAAATCAATCGAGATCGATTCGCGCACGCAACAATATAATATTTATTAAACTATCTCTCTCTCTCTCTCTCTCTCTCTCTGCATCGCAAACACTCTCTTAATAAGAAAGAGAATTTGTTTTACCATTCGTTATTTCGGGATCGTCCTGAACTTGCAGAACCCTGTGAGAATTTTCAGACGCGCGTAAATCATCTTTGCAAGGATAATCGTTGCATGTCCTTCGAGATATCGGTCGATCGTCCTCTCGACAGTGAATCTGATGAGGTTCCGGTAATTGGCCGTCCGCATTCAAGCATCGGACTTCCCGTTTCTGAATACCTTTACCGCAGGATCGTGAACACTACAAACAGAAAGTGACTAGAATTCGTTAAATCTATCAAACACACCATACATATATTTGTATGAGTTTTTGAGTATTTTGATTTGAGTATTTGAGATTTTAATTTTTTGACGTAATAAAGTGATGTAAACAGATAAATAAATTTACCGCCGTCCAGTCCGATATAAACCAAGTAGATACGCAAGAACGTTCTCTACAAGATTTCTTAGTTTCTGGTTTGTTCGCAGGACAATTCATGTCTAGGACGACACGTAGAGAGCCCCGAAGACTTGTAACACATACCACATCTCTAACTTGCTCACCCAGGTTGCAACTTGAGGAACACTAAAGAGTATAAAATCAAATAATTATCAAATTATTTCCGCGTATATATATATATACAAAAATATAAAGCAAGAGCAGATATGTAACGTTATTATTTTTTAATCCATAAATTCTGATCTAAAATTAATTTTTTTTATAAGATTATTAAATGATTATGTTTAAATCTGACCTTCGTCCACGCTCCTGTAAACCATTGACCGCTGCAAGTTCTGTTACTCGCGCAATCTCTAGAAATTTCAGGTCGGTTAGATTCATCACAGTACTCTTCGTCAGAACTTATCTCGCAAAGAACTCTCCTAGTTTGAACTCCTGTTCCACATTCCGCCGAGCACTGAAATTAATAATTTTATAGATTATTAAAATCGATATTCTCTCAATCTGCATTAATCTAATTGTAAGTAATTTTAGACAGTGCAATAATTTAATTTTTTACAGCTGCATTAATAAATGTTTTTCAATTCTACGTTGTTTCCTTACCTTATGCTTCTCTGCGTCAGTGCTACAGAATATATAAATAATAAATTATTGTGCGCGTTAATATTAAGTTAATTGCATGCATATTTTCATAAGAGACATCTAACTCTCATAAATATTTCTTAAGTAGTAAGAGTTTACCTGCTCAGACCATTCAGTATATAACCACTGCGGACTCTGAAGGTTCATGGAGACAATGCTCAATGGCGTTGATTTCGCTAGACACGGTCCCAAGTCGCAGGTTTCATGTGTTTCAGGCTTCTCTGAAAGATCACACGGAGCATCGTCGGTAATGCAAGTTACGACTCTCGTTCTTTTCCCTATGCTGCAGGACGTGGAGCACTTTGAAACAAATGTCATAAAAAAATCATTTTTAATTAATTATATATCTTCTATTTTGTTACAATTCTTATCGAGCGCGCGAAGTAATTATGGACAATAATTATTACTCTAACTCTGCTAGAAAGGAAAGTTCAATATATTTAATTCAATGTTTTAAATTTTCCTCCGATCTAAATGTGTAATTAAAATTATTCAAATTAAGATCGCAAAATAAGATATAAATTGTTAATTTTAAAAATCAGTTAAATTAGTTAATTATATATATTAAACGGATTTACGAGATTTATTCGATCGAAATCTATCATGTGACCAATCGGCAAATCTAATTATATTTTTAAATATTATAATTCCCCCGCGCAAATATATTTATCTTTAATTTTAACTTGTATATTTATTCACTTATATTAAAACGTCCGATAAAGATATAATTTTTAAATTACAAAATAAATTACAAATTATATATATTATATTAAAAATTATATAAATAAACTTTCCTAACGAATATTCATCTTGACGTTGGTGGAGAGCTTAGTACCTCAAAGGTTTATTCTGAAAGAGAATTTGAGTACCCAAACGACTCGTGACAATGCTTTTATAGCAGGAATATCGTTATCAGTCGATAAAAATTTTATATAATTTTACAAGCGATAATAACTTCATGAAAAATTAACATAGAGACGCGCGACAAAAATGGATTTCCAGACTTCACGATTACGCGTCTTTTCGTGCGTTTTGGTTATAGCATCTTTTGATTATCAAAAAATAGGAAGAGTATCCTACATAAGCGCTAAACACTGTATAAAATAAATTAATTCATGTACGATTATATGTGAGATTAAAATCTCTTTCATAGAAGTAATTGATTAATTCAGAGTTAATTCACGAGCAAATTAATAAGGGAGAATTAATTCCTGAGAAAAAAAAACAAACATTTTAGTCGAAACATATATGCAAAAAAAATGTTTTACATTATTTATTTAATTTTTTTAAATTAAATATGTGGAGTAAAGATGCTTTTCATACGTATTAATATGAATTGACTCGTTCCGCTGACAATCAGATATGTAACCGGATAGGATTACCTGTGACCAAACGCCTACAGTCCATCGCGATGACGATGATTGAGAGGACGTTTGCGTCGACGTCTGCTTGATCTCCTCGCATATTGGCATCTCGCATATCTCACTCGTCGGTAAATCTCTTGATTCCGTGCAAGCACCATCGGCAATCCTCATCGTTAACGACGGTTTCACTTCTTGAACACACTCGAGTTCCCGGGTGCGAACTCCGGCACCGCAGGAAGTGGAACAATCACTCCATGGTCCGCCACGCCATCTTTCCAATACACAGTTTTTATATCATTTTCAAAGAAAACTAAAGATCAAATAATCATGAACACTTAATTAGATTTTAATTATATAATTAAAAAGTATCTTTATTCATTGTTTATTCAATAGCAATACAATTTTAATTTTAATTTTCCTGCGACGTTATATATATTAATAATATATTATTGATAAGTACTTTGTCTTTATTAAATACTTTCCATTGCAAATACATATTTGTTTAATAAAAGTTTATATTCTGAAAGCTTAATAAAATGCTATATAATTGCAATATATTCATATAATCACATGCATTGCAAACTTATATTTTTATATATCCATGATTATTTAATATCTTTATGTAATTATGCAATATATAAGATACTTATTATATACGAAACATATATGCAAAAAAAATGTTTTACATTATTTATTTAATTTTTTTAAATTAAATATGTGGAGTAAAGATGCTTTTCATACGTATTAATATGAATTGACTCGTTCCGCTGACAATCAGATATGTAACCGGATAGGATTACCTGTGACCAAACGCCTACAGTCCATCGCGATGACGATGATTGAGAGGACGTTTGCGTCGACGTCTGCTTGATCTCCTCGCATACTGGCATCTCGCATATCTCACTCGTCGGTAAATCTCTTGATTCCGTGCAAGCACCATCGGCAATCCTCATCGTTAACGACGGTTTCACTTCTTGAACACACTCGAGTTCCCGGGTGCGAACTCCGGCACCGCAGGAAGTGGAACAATCACTCCATGGTCCGCCACGCCATCTTTCCAATACACAGTTTTTATATCATTTTCAAAGAAAACTAAAGATCAAATAATCATGAACACTTAATTAGATTTTAATTATATAATTAAAAAGTATCTTTATTCATTGTTTATTCAATAGCAATACAATTTTAATTTTAATTTTCCTGCGACGTTATATATATTAATAATATATTATTGATAAGTACTTTGTCTTTATTAAATACTTTCCATTGCAAATACATATTTGTTTAATAAAAGTTTATATTCTGAAAGCTTAATAAAATGCTATATAATTGCAATATATTCATATAATCACATGCATTGCAAACTTATATTTTTATATATCCATGATTATTTAATATCTTTATGTAATTATGCAATATATAAGATACTTATTATATACAGAGAATGTAAACTAAAATTGACTCACCTAGGCGGACATGGCTTAGTATTGCATCTTAAACGAATTTCCCGCGGCTTTTCTAACGCGTGACATCTCTTCTCCGGCACCTGTTGCTGCGTATGCTCTTTGATACACATGTGTCTGAGTGTCTGAACACCTTATATAACACACATAAAATCTTTGAATCCACAAATGTGCATAAATTGCCATTAAACAAATTAATTATTAGCCAGTTCTTATTTACCTCCACCGCATGATTTGCTGCAATCGCTGTAACCAATCGCCTTCCAAGCAAATTTTCTTCTCTTGTAACGCCGCGGTAGATGTGATGGAGATGTTACATTACTCGCTGCAGATCCATTGTCAAACCTAAAATTAAATTCTCTTTGTAATCACTAGAAAGAAAGTATGCTGCGTTTTAAAAATTGCTAGATATAAAATTGTAGATACAGTTAATATATTAAAACGTAAACTGTAGTCCATTTACGTAAAATACCAGATTGATTAAATATATTAGAATTTATCAGAAATGTTTCTTACCTTCTATTTTGTAAACCAGGCTCGATACCTTTATTTGAAACTGTAAATGTATAATTTTTCAAGAATTAATTTATTATTAGTATTTATTGCTTTAAGAAAAAGATTATAGATGCTAATAATCTTTTCGTAAAGTTTTCTCTGCTTTATGTAAAGTAAGCCTAAATATGTAAGCATCCAAATAAATTAATGAAAAATAATAGAAACATTTTCTTTAACGTAAAAAATGTTTGAAAATCAGAGAATATAATAGTCTTAGGATTACTTTCCTTTTAAAGTTTATGCTTGTATTATAATGTACATATATTATATTCAAATGATACCTGCGTTATGCGCGAGATGACTGCTTCTCGATAAATTCGTATTTCCAGGAATCACATATCGATAAACAATTCCAGGGTTTGGTTCCTGATACAAAACCTATGGATATGATAATCAAAGACGTAATTATTTTGTATGTATAGATAGCATTATTTTTGATTTATATAATTATTTAATTGTTGTATTTTAATGTTATATCCAAAAGTAGAAGAGTAAGCAATTTAAATCTAGTAAATATAGACTTTATATGATTTATGTCGATGTGTGGTAAAAACTCAATGATAAAAGGGTTAAGTAGAACATGGTTAAACCCATTAACGCCCACGATTGTCGGAGCACAACAATGTTCTATATCGCTACTCATAAAACGCTATTGTGATCGCGTTACAACGATGTCTGCAATTTGGCCAAAGAACGCAAAATATTCCATAGAATTACTATAAGTTGAAAATATTTTATGAATATTTTTGTAAAAAATTTGATGATATTTATCCCATTTAAATAATCTACTTTACTCTTATTTACACCTGATACTCTGATTATTTTTCTGCTGATTAGAGATACACATGCACATTTATTATAATATATAATAGGTTTATATCATAAGAAATTAAAAGTTTCTTGGTATATGCGGTACTTATATGAAAGTTAAACTACATAATTTATTAATATCCCCGTATTACTTACCATGACATCTATAGGTTCCTGTAATGGTCCGGCGGCAGAAAAACTCTCTAAATTCTGAGAACCCTGACGCAGGTAGACAAATGTTGTTCCGGCCGCCTTGTACTCACCGGACCAGTTGATAGTATAATTTCCATTCAACAGGTAACTGCCATCTTGCAATCTAATCGCTGCAAATTTATTATTATATTTTGTCGTTTTCTTTTATTAAAGTTGAAATAAGTACGTTAAATTTCTAAGTTAAAGTGCAACACTGAAAGATATGTGCAGATAATATATATATATATATATATATTTAATTATTATTATCGAAAGAAGAAAAAAGGTTTTGGTGGTCGCCTTCTCTTTCCTCCTTCTTAATAAACAAATCAGCATGCACGAAACCACATACAATTAGGATACTTTAGTTAACTGCGAAAGGAAGGAATCTATTTCATTTTTGCAAATGTCGGGCTTCTCCCCAACATATTATTATACAAAATTGTAAATGTAATATATTTAATTATTAAATTAATGCTATATTTTATACATTTGTCGAAAAGTAGTCTATTATTGTCTTACATCGTGTCAGAATTTGTTTCTAGCACATTCCTTCCAGCAAAATACGGTTACAGCCACTCTGCGTGTGACTTAGAAAAGTGTTGCAAAATATATTAGGCTAGTCGGAAAAAATCGCGATGACCGCATTTATTCGCAAATGACCTACTACTTCTATTCATAGAACGACGATGATCTCCGACATGTCGATTGACACATATCACGCTAAAGCTGGCAATCACGATCGTTTAAAGCGTGACTTACGCGCACAATGACGGTCGTTTATGAGCGAGTTTACGGTCGCGGGCGATTTATGTAATCCACGTGGCATGGACCGGTGCATCTAATTTAGCAGAACAGCGGGTCCCGTTTCATTTACGAACGCCGCGACTGAATGATTAAAAAAATCAACGAAATTAATTCTCTTAGAATCTCATCTTTGGTCTTTGAATTTATTTCAAATTTTGAGATTTCTATCAGAAAAATTTAATTTATTAGATATATATAATAAATAATTAATTGAGATGTTAAAATTTATTAAATATATCTTATATGAACATTACACTTTATGTTTATTTCTTGAATTCTGAAAGACTATATGGATTTAATTTTATAAGGAGCAATTTTCTATCCGCTTCTCTTGAATCATCTATCTTTGCAGATTAGGTGAGGATAATGGGAGGCACGATCGCGTCGGCGATAATGAATGTTCCGACAGCATTGTTAACGATCATGACTAATCACGCCGCGGGCGATTCGTTTGCTTATCGGCGACGCGATCATTGCATAGGAGACGCATCGATTACGATCTGTTATGTTCGCATCCTGTGAAAGGCAGTCATTATGTTGCCCTAATCGAGCGATGAATAGATTCGAAAGGTATTGAAGGCGATAATGATGATTACCTTCAGATGCAATAAATCAAAGTTCGATTTCGAATCGTATTCTAGATATTATACGATTGCCAAATTTGTTAAAGAATGACGCCGTGTTGTAAACATTAATTTTAAAATTTAGATTATTGTTATACTTAAATATTCTTAAAATTAATTTCTCTTTTTATTAATTATTATATGCTTTTTTATTTTTTATTACTTGCTGCTTTTAACATCATTATTAAGTATTTTAATACCATTTGCTTTTTTTGATTAGCATACAATAGCTCTTAAAATCTTCTAAAA